CTCAAGCTCTCGACAATGTAGTCCGCATAAAGATCCCTTCAAAACAGAACTACTTGTTAACAACCCAAAAATATAACTCCACATCAGTTGGGTAAAGTTGATTCTGGAGAATGATGACAAATTAGATGCAAATAGTATCTATAGGAAAAAATATTCTGGTGAATGACTTCTTAGATAGATACGATGCTCGCTACACCATCACATAGATATGATCATGATTCACTTACATCGATTCCTGAATTGCTTCATAAGCAGAAGTGGCAGGCAAAAAGTCATTAACTGCAACTTCCTTGTTCTCATTTTTCTTGTCTTAAATAACTTATTAAGGTGAACTAATTCCATTCTTTAACAGCTTGGCAAGACAGACCAGCAAGTTATGCCAGAAGAGATGATTGCAGAGACTTCATATAACTGGTGCTAAATAAGAATCAATAACAGAAATATTAAGGATACAGTCCTCAAAGAAGCGGCGGATCTCAGCCAATCGATGTGGTGGAAGATCCTTTATGTCCTTGAAATGTCGATATTCAGGATCATCAGCACAAACAGCAATAATCTTGTCATCTTTTTCACCCTGTTATCACCAAATAACCTGAGCATTTTCTTTCTCATATTGGTTATCGAAAAAAAGAAATTGTCTCTTTAGGAAAGTATACCTGATCAATCATGGGCATCAGGCCTATGGCTTTAGCCCGAAGAAAGCATCCCGGAAGAACTGGCTCCTGCAATTGTCATCTGTCAGCATCTATGCATTGCTGGTTAACATGATAACTTTTATATTTTTGTTATTGGCAAGCTAACAAGGCCATAATAATAATAATGTAGACTTTACATGCGTATGTCCACGACATTCTGTCTACAGTGGACCAAAGAAATGCAAGGCTTCATATTTTTGCCATGTATCCTTCCCTTAAATCTCTTTTCCCAAACTGGGTAATTTATTTACACCGAATACTTAAATAGGTCACATTTTTTAAGTGCCTATTACTATTCTTTATCTATATATATTTAAAAACAATTTATTAATTGAATTATTTAAATTATTCAAAAATTTAGAAGTTCAGAATCGCATCCAGTCATATTTTTCAGATATCTTGATTTGCTGTTTCTTTATTTTCCTTGCACGCTCTCATTTTCCTACATTGATGGCTATAACCAAATATTCGACCTGTATCAGTGTGTGATAAAGGAGATGCATGAATTAGAATGAAAATTGCTTCAGGTCTTAAGAAGAAGACAGAAGAGATGGTATAACAAAATCTGCATTCATCCATTTACTAAATGTTCCAGAAATTGAATGGGAAAATGTAAACCAAATGTCACACCTGCATGATTACTAATACGTCCATGGGATCATTGTCTTGGCAAAGAGTGCGAGGGATGAAGCCATAATTGTGGGGATACACAACTGATGAGTAAAGAATCCGATCAACCTGCCCATGCACATCTAGCAAGACTTAACAAACCTATAAAGGAAAAAGCACTACTGAGAACCAGTTTGGTATAAGTAAGTACCTTGATAAGTCCTGTCTTTTTGTCAAGTTCATATTTCACCTTGCTCCCTTTTCCAATCTCAACGACCTGTAATTGAAAAATCATTAGATACCCAAAAAATGGAAAAACCAACAGAGTATGGCAAGTTCCTTGCAGATTCCATATTTATTTGAAACAAAAGTCATGCAGAAAAAAAATATTTTGATCTGTGCCATATCAGTTTTCAGTACAGAAAATGTACCCATCCTTTAGGTCCTAAGATCCAAATGAACAAGACATGTACATAGCATGTTGAATCCAGGATAAAAAGTGAGAAAATATACCCATTTCTTGCCATTTGATATCCAATAAACCTCATTTTGCTTTGTAATATGTGTGTGTGCATTTACAATCACATATCCAAACTATTAGGAGTTGGCTAGCTTTTTTTCTATGGTATCTGATAAAACACTAGCCAAAGTATTGACATAAAAAATTCATATGTAGATAAAGCAAATGTTCTAATATGATCATTATTGAATATGTTCTTACACAGTTGAAGATAATTGGGGCTTCAGGTCCTGTGAACAATGTGAGGAAAAAAGTAATATATCAGGTCAAGTTTAGTTACTAAAAGACTAATGAAACAAAACCGCATATGACTTATATGTGCAGCATACCTATCTCAAGATCATGCCAAGGATGTGCAGCAACAGATCTCCTGGTCAGCGACGAAAGTATTCTCTCATTGAGAGGTGGATGCGAAGAATGGTGGCTAGCAGCAGCTTTGATTGGGGAGTCAATAGGTGGAGTCATAACTGCAAGTTAAAACATGTCAAAACGAATTAGAGGAAGAACAATGGAAATCCATGCTTTAAAGTTTAAGAGAAAATCGAGCAAAATTAAATGACAAGCTTCCATGCTTTTCTTGGAAGCATTTGTGGCAACTCAATTAAATAAACAAGAAAAGGAAAAATAAAAGAAAGGAAGAAACTACCTATAGGTAACATCTTCAGATTAAAATGCAGTCAACAAATGAGAAAAAGAAAATAAAAGGGATAAACCATATACCAAGCACCATCTTCAGATGAAACACAGACACGTCTCTGCAATATTTCTCAATTATAAGGTTGTAAACTTAGTAACAACAGAGGCAAACAAGCCTCTTAATCACAGTCTTCCAAGATGCAATGGAGATATAATTTCTCTTTTAAAATGGAAAGAATCTAAAATCACTGTAAAAGAACATCTGAAAATATTTGTAACTCCCTTATTTTAGTTGAACTTGCAAGTCCTTTTTCAGCCTAAGAAAAAGTGCAAAATAAATATTAAGAAACTTGCGTGCTACTTCAATTGAATTTTCTTTTTTTTTTCTTTTCTTTTTTTTTTTTTTTTCTTATTGAGCTTTAAAGCCTAAAATTGCTTGCCAAGGCTCTTGCGGCATAGTAGCAACATTTAGTGGAGATCTTTCGGGCTTCAAACCCGCTAATCTAAATTCCACTCTCCCGTCCCAAATCAGTAAAATATTGAGCCCAAGATCTGGAGGAACAGATTAATATCAGAATGTTCCCAATTCATTGTTCACAAATATCATCGGTGACAAATAAAATATCAGTACCTCGCAACAGTTACAAATCACAACAGTTACAGACTGTTTTTAGCTATGTTTTTTACATTTGCAAACAAATCAAAACGTCAAAAGAAAAAATATATGTTTGTATATATGTATATAACGAAAAGAAAAACGTAACAAGCAAACATAGATCGTTTATTTTGAAAACCGCCATTCATGGAGAAAACGTAGATCCACTAAATTATAACCCCCAATCAATGCCAGCCGCTAAAAAATGGTAAAACATCACTGAAGAAGGAGAAATAGCAACAAAACCAAACAAATCGAACAAATATGAAATGTTGATCATGGAAATAATAATAGTAATAATAATAAGATTCCAGAGTGATGTGCAAGACGCGTTGCTACAAGTACGCCTACGCGCTTGTAATGGTGAAGAAGAAAGCGGCCGGGATAAAGATTTAAGAAATAAGAGATCAACATATCAACAGAAAAGACATCGAAACCCTAAAAGAAACGATAATTTCAGGATTTAGCGAGCATTACCTGTTGAGAGTTGAAGTAGTGATCCGACGACGAGGTCTGAAAGAGCTGAAAAAAGAAAAACTCACAGATCTCAAAAAGACGAGAGGAAATCAGTGAAGAGATGATGAGAAATGGAGAAGAGAGTTGCTTAAGTAGAGGAAAGCAAGCAATGGCGAAGTGCAGGTTCCCGCTCTCTTCCCGTAAGCGTTTAAAGGAACTATCACCACCTCAGCAGGAAAAAGAGAAAGGTCAAAGAATTAATACGGTGGAAAATTCTGATGCGTCTGATAAAGCAGAATGAAATGGCATAAAAATTGCTTTGAAGAATACAATCTCGCGTATATTACGTGAACACGAATTTTTCGTGTTTACAGCTGTAACACCTTGTTTACGTGTCGGTTTCTGATTGGGTATTTGAATGCGGACTTCGGGACCCACTGGGATGCAAGACGCGTTGCTAATGGTTGTTTCCTTCAATAGTCTTAACGGTCAGGTGTTATTATCATAAAACGCATATTTTCTCATTCCTCAAATATTTTATATATATTTAAACTAATAATATATATTTTTTTTTCTTTTGAGTTTATTTAATAATAAATATATATTATTTTCATTAATATATAACTAAAATATTATTAATCAAATAACAATTAGATCGAATTTTATATTTTAAAAAAACCAAATAATAACATTAAATTACTAAGTTAAAGTTTATGAACTATTTTACTGCATGAAAAGTGATGATCACTGTAAAGATTTATTACATGTAATTATTGTGGTTCCCTTTTCCACATTATCATCAAGTTAGAACGTAGAAATGTTCAATCTTATGTTATTATGTAATGTGAATGTTAGAATTTAAGTAATTAATAATGGAGTGTATAATTTTGCGTGTTCTACATGAACAATTATTTCTTACAATGAACAATTAATAAATAGTGATATTAAACATGTATAGATAATAAAGCACTACTTTTTTTTAGGGAATTAAAATATTATTTGATTTTGTAATGTTATGATTACATATAATTATATTTTGATATATATTCCAACTATATGTTAAAAATTTTGAAAGATTAAGATGAGACAATACGTCAAATACTAACATCTTTATGGTACATTAGCTGTAATGTCATGTAGTCTTTTGTTACTGTAAATTATTTCTTAAGTTCATTTATTCTCGATATGAATCTAGACTTTACATAATATAAAATTATTTCATCTCGTGATTCTCCTTCAAGCCAAAAATATACGTGAAATGATCCTTAAACATGGATTGGATCCTTCATCCACTATTGTAATGCATTATTCACCCTAGTAATGGCATTTCCCTTCTTCCTTTATGTTGACTATTTGTGAAAAAACCTAGTCTTTTGGTCTCCCCATTTGAGCTAATCCAATGTAATATTTGAGCTAGCATTATTTTTTCCTTTTGATAAAGCTCATCTAGTCTTTTATCTCGCTCTTTTAAGTGAAACTACATTATTCTTTAAATTTAAAATCTCATATGATACTGTCATATCGTATTTAATTATAATAATTTGGTTTTTGATACTTTACATAAGGTTCCGTTCCCAACTACTTAACATTATTTAAGATATACTAAAGTTTACTATCAACTTACCACTAAAATGGCTTTTATTTTTTTATCATGAATTCTCAACCACTCCCTTAAAGTTTCTTCTTTTGATTGTTATGCCTCAAACTGAATAACTTGTATTTTGTTAGTAACCCTTATTATATGCATTAAGTTAAGTATATTAGGTACATGATCATATCCATACCTTAATAGATTTCGAACACCATAGTTAAAGAATGCAGCTTCCCAAATAGAGGTTGTCAATAATCTATCCAACTTTTTTAAAATATTGTTTTATCCTTTCACTCATTATTTTAAGTGAACTTATACTTATCAAACCTAGGAGCTCCCAACTTACAATCGATTAGTGAATTCCTAAAAGTTTAGATTTAATATTTTTCATTAATAAAAAAGACTTTATTAAAGTTACTTCTACTATCGAATGATGATAATATTCTTTTTTAAATTACATAACAATTCCTAGGTATTGTGTTTTATATGTCATTTAAAATGGCTATAGATCCTAGTAAATCTTCACATGGTCTCCCCTAATCCCTTAACAATCATATTATATTATGATTAGATGTAAATTTCACTTCCACTTGGATTTAACTGGTCTATAATACACACATCACAATGTTCGATTATGCTCTAAGACATTGCATTCAACATGGAACTTGTTCATGGAATTCATGAAATTGAATAATTCTTTTAGTGTTTTCATTTCTGCAATTGCTTTAATACTTAAGGCCTCATAAGATTTTAGCTTATGTTCATTTATGTGTGGTCATGGTAAAGAAGAAACATGTGGATTCACAAGCAAAAATGGATGGAACCACTCTCATGGATATTAAAATTGCATAACTACATTTACGATTTAGAGATACTGTATGATGAAAATGGTATCAACGAAGCGCAATCACTATATAATAGAAATAGTAGACAAAATAACACTAATAGTCACCACCTAGAAAAAGAAAAAAAAAAGGGGGGTTCAAAACGACATCATTTTGGAAAACTCTAAAACGACGTCGTTTTGGAAGAGTAAAAAAGAAAAAAGACCAGAGATGTGTTTGCCTTTAGTCGGGGAAGATGAAGAGGCAGAGGCGTGTATGCCTTTACTGCCATCCGTAAAAGAAGAAGAGGGGACCTGTAGCGCCCGGGAAATTGAAGAAGAAGAGAAAAAAAAAAGGGGGGGGGCACGTCAGCAGTCCCGGCCAATCGGGACTTGCCACGTGGCAAGACCACGTCGATCCGGGACGGGCCACGTTGGCGATCCGCGTATGCACAATCGGACGGCCCAGATCAAACGTGCGATCGGACGGTCCAGATGCAATCGCACGGACGGCCCAGATTAAATCAAAAACGGACGGCCCAGATTAAATCAAAATGGACGACTGAGATCAAAAGGCAAAAGGGTATAAATAAGACTCCCACACCAGACCACAAAACCCTAGCCGCCTGCCCTCGCCGGAGAAGACGAACCAGAAGCCGGCCGCCGCCACCCGCCGCCGCACCGGAGGGATTTCCGACCGCCGATTGAGGTAAATTTCATATCCCCGACTCGTTTTTCCACGCTGATTTCCCCTGTGGCCAAATCGGAGCCAAAATCCCGGTCAAACGGCCGAAAAATACGGCCGAAGCCCAGCGGCGCCACCGCTCCCCTCCTCGGTTTTTGCCTCTGATGAGGCCCTTCCCGGCCTCCGTTTAATGCAATTTTTATATCACCGTGATCACCATTCTTTTCTCTACAGGTTGATCGGAGCTGAATCACCAAAACACGAACTTCACCATAGAGCCGCCGCACCCGAGAGCACCGCCGCCGGTAAGCTTTAGTTTTTCGTAATTTTTTGGCCCCCCGAGGGCCTTAGAGTTGTTTAATCGCAAGGATCGATGCAAGTGTGGCCGAATTCGGCCGAAAACGGCCAAAACGAGGCGAATCGCCGTCGCAAGCGGCGTCGCCGGAGCACGGCGGAGCCGCCGTGCTGGAGTTGCGATATTGGCCGAAAGGGGCCCTGGGCCTAATTTGGGATTTTTTGGAACACGTGCAGGTACCAGTAGTGCGTTTCAGTTCCCCGGAAAAAATTCAGGAAAAATTAGGGACAGCCTGTAGGCGCACTGTGAAGCCGTGTTCGGACCCCGAAACGAGTAAGGACCCCTCACCCTATTTCCTATCATGGTATTAAAGTTCAATAAATGATAAAACGGTATTTCATGAATCAACGAATGTGTGAAATTGTTTAGGGTCGCTAATGGAGCCCGAGTCTAGTGTGTTTGTCGGTTAACTGTTATTTGGCCTGTTTTACAGTTTTAAATGCAGTATGAGGTTTGATGTTTTCATTTTATAGTTTCACGTGCATATTGTACTGTTTTATTGATTATGGATTGAATGACTGGGATATTGATGCTGTATGTTGTCTGTTTGGCATAAATTACTGTTTTACTTGTTTGTATGTGGATTGATGATGCTGACTGAGGGAAAAGAGAATGATAGATTATGTAAATGGGTAATTGTATAATGTGGTCAGCCTGACTATATATCCTGGGAGATGGTGGACGGACCGGGTCCGTAGGGAACCCTATCGGGATTGTGGTCTCCCATACCGGACGGGGTATGAAGATCTTATGTGTTTTGGCGCCCATACCGGACGGGGTATGGGAACGGCCCGTTTCACCCTCATACCGGACGGGGTAATGAGGTCTATAGTTTTGGCGCCCATACCGAACGGGGTATGGGGACGGCCCTGGAAAAATGATTTCAAGTGTTAAGAGTTAACGGGTAGCGGGACCCCTATGGATCCCCATGGATACTAGTGGGCTGGTAAATGAGAAAAATATGTTATGTAATGATTGAATTACAAAAGGCTTGATAAATATTATGTTATACAGTTTATATATGATTTCATGATGATGATGATGTTATTGCTTTCGTACACTGTTTTCTGGATTCTATCGAGGTAAGTGAATGGTAAATGTTTTATTATTGATAAAAGAATTTATTGTAAATTATACTCCATTGGTCTTTTTGTGTTTTCTACCCACCTTTACCTCCGTGACGGTGAGATATCGTGATGTCTTTACTGAGCTAGTGTAGCTCATTCCTTATTTAATCATTTTAGATCAAGAGGACATCGTTCCTGAGCCGGTTCCGCAGGAGGACGACGAAGGGGACGCCTAAAGACTCCATAGTCATATTCGTAGCTTTTACTTTCAAGTTTCTCCTTTCGGTAGTTTGATCTTTTATATTTTGTGAGAACGTTTTTGGTTTTAGTGTAAGGGATGTTATTCAAATTTTGACTTCGCTTCGGCATTTGATATTTTTAATATACATTTCATTTTAAATTTCCGGGGCTGTTACAGGACCTGCATGCCGAGGAAGAAGGGTCGTGCAAGACTTCTTTTGTTTCTCTTAATAAAAAGGTGAGTTGCGCAAAAAGAGAGAAGGAGAAGCGGGTGCTGGGCACGACAGTGGAACTGAAGAAGAAGAACTTCGCGGTGGTGACCAAGTGCAACTTCGTATTCCCAAGCGTGTTTCGGCATGGTACCACCAGATCTGTGCTGGATCTTAGGGCGGAAGCGTTCTGCGGTGAATTTTGGCGAATTCACAGCAACGAGCGACGGTGGTGCGTGGAGGTCCAGTGGTGGCGTGTGTGGAGGTGCGCGGACTTCCGGTGGTTGCGCGCAGTGAGTCCTATGAA